TATTTCATCCCTAGCATGCATTCAGATGAAAATCTGAAAGGTTTCTTATTGATTGGCCAGTGTGTGTATTATTATTATATTATGCAACATGAGGCAGCATTAACATGTGGAGCTGGGAAGGCTTCTAATGATCACCTTTCTCTCTTGTGAGAGCAGGATGCACTGAAATTTGATGTCCTTATTTTTTAGAATGGTTATGAGTTTTGTAGACAAGTGGATCATCCACGTTCAAGATATAAGCAATCATCTTTCCACAATACTCAATTTTGTATGTCTTCTTCTCAAATATCATTGTATGGATGTCCTTCCAGCTGAATCAGGAGCAGTGACTTTGTGGAGGTTTTCCTTGGAGAAATGGACTTATATTGGAGTTACACATGATTCAAACCAAAATACTTCTTTACCGCAAGTATTTAAGTTCAGAGGTGTAACATGTTGTGCAGAAAATATTCTCAACAAGTTATCAGCTATGGATCAAAGCACACAAGAATACTTAGAAACAGAAGTGCATGAGGAAACATTCAGAAAAGAGATGACTTTAATTTTTTCCAATGTTAGTGCAGCACAGGTGATGCTATTTTAAAAAATTATTTATTGAATTATGACAGAGGTCATCAAACTTATTTTCTTTTTCACAGAAACTGTGACTTTATGGAAGTCTTCTTTGCATAAATGTAGTTTTACCAAAGTTACTGATGATTAAAACCAAAATATATGATTGCACGCATTATTTACACTGCAAAATATAACATGTGGTGCAGAAAATGTTCACAACAAGTTAGCAGCTATAAATGAAAGCACACAGGAATATTTAGAATGAGAAGTGGATGATGAAACATTCAGAAAAGAGATGCAATGGCAGTGCAGCACAGGAGATTCTAGCTTCAAGTATTGATTACAGAATTATGGCAGAATTGATCAGACGTATCTATTACTGAAAGCAGAGACTTTTTGAACATATTTTTTTTAGAGAAATGGGGTAATATTCTAATTAGGTATGGATTTAATCATAATGCTTTGTTGCAGGCATAGTTTTTATTCAGACGTAGAAAATGTTACGGTGTGCTGGCTTGGCTTGTTACTGATTACAAATCAAAAATAATTTTTGGTTTCCTGATTCTTTTCTCTCCTGCATTCTTTCTAGGAGATGAAATAATTTTATCTGCTTCTGAAATTTCAATTTCTCTTTTTTCTTGTGTTTGTTTTACAGAAGCAGTGGCCTGTTTTTGTTTCTCATTCTGTGCTCTAGCATCAACAATATACTTCGGTTCTCTAAGAGACATTTTTCTTGGTGCTCTTGGATCAACAAGCTCAGGAAGAATACAATTCACGTAAAATTTTTCGAGTTTTGGAACTAAACTGATCCAGAAAGTTTTGTCTTCGGGTATTCTTAATGTGATTGCATCTTCTCTGCACCATATATATAAATCACACCAATTCCTCTCTGTTATGGCTAACTGCCCTTGAATTTGAAAATAATATTTGTGGCTTTTCGGTAAATAAAGATTATTATCAGCATCCATCCGAAGACCAACAGAATTAGGCTTGCTGAAAAAGTCTGACAAGTCTGCTGAGAATCTGGCTGTATAAGGACATTTTATTTCAAGTAATCCATCTTCGTCTATCAATCCATCTGGCGAAGTACAAAGAAAGGGATATTTAGGATCAATAAAAAGGCCACAACGTCTGATGTTTTTTCCCATGTGCTTTTCCTTGTATTGATTTAAGGCTACTGCTTCGTTAGCCAAGCCATACTTTAATGCTTTAGTTGAAACGTTATCATTATATATGATACGTTTCACTAAAGCAGCACTGAGTGTTGTTGGACGCCTATCAGCAACATCTTTGAAAAAGGATGATGATATTCTTCTTGATCTTTCATGACGCCATCTTTCAGATGATGACTGTCCACGTGTTACGGCCTCAAGAGAATCTTTTTTTGGAACTTCAATTGATATAAAAAATTTTTAGCTAGCTGCCAATTCATATGCTTCATCTGATAGGTCTGGTTTTCTCAGGAAAATCACCATAAGAAATATCCCCACCTTGCTGAATATGTCCTGCTTTCCTCATATTTCTCTTTTTCTTCTCAGTGTCAAAAAGTCTACGTCTCTCAAGACGTTTTACATGGCGCTTATTTCTGGAAGCTAAGAATTTCAAAGTTGGAGTCCTGGGGCTACTTCCTGTTACAGCTACAGCTTTTTGTGCATTTTTTTGCCACTGCTGTGCTGGATTTTGATAGGCCATGACAGCAATACTCGCACGCCTGTTCATGCCACCAGCTTTGGAAAAATCAACTCTTTTTCCACCAGATGTTTTACACAGTTGACTCATGAAGCTTTCAGCAGGATTATTTGTGGCATTCCAAATAAGAGTACTGCTACACGATATCAGTACTCTTCCCACTTCTGCTTCAATAGCTTGCAACATACCCGAGGAAAAAATTTCATTGTATGTGCTGTCCAACTCTGCACCTTTCTTTGCACAAAAAGCACTACAAGCATCATGCTTGCCAAATATATGATGTGGCCCATTTCTCAAGTCAGATACTAATGCATCAATAGCTTCTTGTGTGTGCTGATAATGGCTAGGTAAAGCATGAGCTTTTATAGCTACTCTAGCACCTCTGACTAACAGTGGCATTTTAATTTTCAGCAATTTACGGGCAGCAATTCCTTTAGCCCCGGGGAAGCGCGCAGTATTTTGCTGAAGTTTCTCAAGAGCTCTGCGATATCTTCGAACAGCATGGTTAGCACATTCTACTTTGATCACCCGTCCTCCATATGAAACGCTTTCTTTCACTTTGGCCATTGTGTTAGCATCTCCATCTCCAACAAGTCGAGTACAACGTATTTTGTGAACACACTGGAGATAATTCAGACCTTCCACAATGGCACTGCTTTCCATACCTGTAGAAGGCCCATTCCAATTTCGCCAACAAAGGTGCACTTTATTTGGCATCTTGCCATCTTCAATAGCACTGCATATAAGGCACACTTTGTTGCGAATTCCAACAAACAAAATTTTCTGGGTGACCATGCCTATAATAACAGATATGCCACTTGAAGCATTGTAACCATGCCCATAGCTTCTTTTACACCAACCTCCATCAACAATGACAGTTATACAGTGATAACCATCATTATCTTTATCATTGCGAAGTTCTGCCTGCCTTTTCTCCTCTTCTATAGCAGCACACATAGTTTCCTGTGCACATCCCTGTATTATTTTGCCAGTAGTTCGCTCACAAGAAGCAAAGGTCGAGTTGCTCATATACGGAATTTCCATGATGCTAAACTTTTCCTCCTCTTGTGAAAATCCACTGCCAGTAGATAACGCACCTAATACTGCAAGCTGATTTAGGCTGCTTTTCTCCATATCAGAACAAATTGTTGCCATTTCCCCACATAAAATTTTATCACATACATAGTTATATGTAGTGACAAGACCACGTCGAATCACTTTGTTAAAAATAAATGATCCTCCAAATTTACAATTTAGGGAATGTTGCTCTAATGTCCTAGCCTGCACTATTACAAAAGACATATTGCAAATTGTTCTGCCAGATGGTAATGGATTTGCCTTTCGTCGATCTTCCCTTTCGATAATTAAAGGTGAATCAGGACACAGAAATTCATCATTAAGGTTCTCCTGAAGAGGCTCAGACTCCAAGCTAAAATATATATATATACAATATATATACATATATATAATTAATATATATAAATATTACAAATTAGGTTTAAATTTGGCTTATTTGATGACAGCAAAGCACTTGATCTTCCTAAGAGGAGGAATGCTTTCATGGAGGACTTTCTAAGGGAAATGGCTCATATACACGGGGAAAACCATGAAAACGCCCATGCAGGCAGCCCATTCGCAATTAGGTTTAGGAAATTTAGGCAACAGATAGCAAATAAATTAACAATAATAATACACTGGATTACCAGTATATTACTACAAGAAGATGAGTCATCTTCACAACTGCTGCTTCCATGCTCGCAGTGTCATTTGCTCGTGCAATATTAGTCACTACTTTGTGTGCCGGAGGTTTCACATGAAGGGCCTCTACACACCTGAGTATAAAATGTTCGTGTTCCAGTAAACACTGAATTCAGAGGGGCAAGAATAACTCTTTCATGGTGGATAACTCAGTTACCAAATGGCTTTCTAAGGCTCTATTCAAGCCGTTGTATAAATGTCATAATTCCCAACTAACAACGCTTTGTAGTCAGACCTTGCTATGTCACAAAAACTAGTTTGGGCATTAAGCTTGAAGTTTTCAACTTTGTGCCGACTTGATATAAGAGTCGGCCAATCAGAGCATATACATAAAACCTATTGAGAGAGAAAGCTGTAGACACATACATGCATGCACAAATTTAGCTTCTCTAATTGGCTATGGCTTAGACCCTCTCTCGCAGGTGTGAATGGAACTCCCACATTTTGTGCCTTATGATTATGCGTCTATGACATTTATACCATCATGTGAACGGAGCCTTAGGATGGCATACTAAGAAGATGCACTGTCTTGTGGGGATAAGCAATTTATACTCCTAAGCCTAAAAAAAAAACTTGGAAAAAAAAGATCACGACTTAAATTTGTTGTCTAATTGCTCTAATTTGAGGCACATTATGAGAGGAAAGCAAAGGTAGTAATCAGAATTATTTAAAAAATTTTATCCTTATATTTTTCTTAAAAATTCTGTAAAATAATAAAATTTGTGGTTTTCCTCAAATAAATATATATGGAAAAAATAACAGCCACATAATCACAGATTTCATTTTGTTATATTTTATTAACAAAATTTAAATTATTAAAAATCTCTTTCATGAAGGGAACATAAAACATCATGAAAACAATGAAAAAGAAGCAATATTTAAAAAAGATAGTAGGCTTATTGATGAGGCTCCCATCAAAAGAATCAAACCCCAAAATATTTTCATTTGCTTCAGTGTCCCGACTGAAAATTTCACTGATTTCAATGAATATATTTTTAAAAAAAATCTTTTATTTTCAAGTTCTTTCATGCAAAACGTCCAAATTTGGTACAAATCAAATTCATCCCCCTCTTTTTGATAGCTACAATATTATATTTAACAGTTTTAATAGCTATCAGTATGTAAACAACATAATGTAACACCATAAAAGAAAAACATAAATGATGACATTTTAATTTTGGCATAGAGAAATACATATTTACCCCAAAAGAGAGCTTGTATTTCTACCTTCTACGTCAGAGTCAATAACTGAAATGTCCAGATCAGAACTGAGAAGAAAAGAACCATAATTAGTTTAATTAAGATACAATAACACACCGACCAAGTATTAATTTGAGAGTCAAGCAACAAAAATCAGCATCATATTTTGAAATATTCACTATTTGAAAATATAACGCTGATTTTGGTTGCTTGACTTCTAAATTAATACATAATTAGTTAACCATAATTAAGTAACTGTAATATCATGCACAGCTAATATCTATTTTAAAAATAAACCAACTTACCTCAGGAAAGCCTGGTTTGTCTTAGGAACATTAGCTGTAACTTCTGGCGTAGAAAAGTCAAATTTTTCACTTCCGGACCTAAGAATGAAAGAAATAAACTGCTATAACATAATTAAAAAAAAAAAAAAAAAAAAAAACATGAATAAATAAATAACACATAACAAATTTAAGCATTAAGCTATGTATGACTACCACCCATCTCAGACAGTGCGACAGATATTGCTGTATACTGTTTCGCCATACCCTGTGTAGCTATTATATCATGCTGTATAACCACAGTTTAGAAAAATTACAAAATGTGTTATTTATATCTATCTAAAATGGTACATTACTACATGATTTGTAAGAATAAATTAGAGGGCTCTGCGAATGAAATTCCTTCCAATTAAAAAATGTAGGAATAAAGAAAATGCAGGAATTGCAAATGCAGAAATGAAAAAGGGGATTATATTTTTTGTACAGAATCCAGATGACATATTTTTCAACATTTTAGAAATTTCAATATTAATTTTAGGGGCATAAAATATTAGGCCCCTAAAAGCAGAATATAGTTTTTAAATGTTCAGATAATCTTC